TGTATTTTTCGAAACATTTATCGACATTTGGCTGATTCGTTTAAATCATGATGTTTAACGATCAAGTTGTTTGATGTTTAATACAACTACTATGACTGCATGTGGCAATACAACATATTCGACATGGCCGATAACGTTTAGACGTATGATAATTATTATTACGTTGATAATGTAATGTCCAATAAGTGAACAAGCAATAAAGATCAAATAATTTTAAAGTTAACACTACATCGTTTGAAAAACGTATCGGATGACTTGAATATAGTTCGTCGTGAATACATCGAAACGAAACACTTTTATCAAAAATAAAATAACCCTGAGGGGAATAATGGGACAAGGGTTATCAAACTTTATTGCACTACAAGGCGATTCAGATTCATGTAATAATTATCAAAACTGTGAAGCACAATCAAAATTCGCATGTTTTACATAATACATTTTTTATGTCATCAAAAATATACTATTTTATAACGAACTATCAACTGTACACCGTGTGTAAACATTGCAATTTTTCGAAACTCTGCATCCCAAATGAAACGATTACGAATGTTTGCGTTTAAAATTGAACTCAAGTCTCTAAAACAAAATTATCTAAAGACAAATATTTAGATTGGAATTATAAAATAAATAAAAATACTTACATAATCTGAACGGTTCAAACTATTTGGACTGAAAACTTGGTATTTTTAGAATCAGCAGATAGAATTAGGACTGTTTAGAACGTTAAGATGACGGAGATGTCATGGAAAAATAAATAAATGAACGAACGATTTGGTTCAAGGATAAAGGGTTGACAATGCGCAGATGAAAATGGACAAATTAATATTCCATGAGGAATACGACGAATGTTAGGTGTAATAGAAGTGTACGTTTTGAATAAACAAAAGATGCAGGAGGGTAGACAATAATATAATTACTACGACCCGTCAGTTATAGTTAAACAGCTATATTGTTAAATCAATATTGTAATAATTCGGATGTAATTAAACGCTCTTGTTCGAGGAAAAAAACGAAATCTAATGAAAATAATTATTGGTCTTCATACACACGTGATTCTGATAATCTTATATCGCCGTTGTTTCATAATTATAACAGCTATACGTGCAGAATAAAACGGAAAGGGATCCCGACTGAAGTCTTATAGATACTACACCGAGCACATGGTTAGAATTATTAGAATTATAACAAAATTAAGCATATTTCTACCTCCGTTCATGCAAACTATTAATAAATTATATTAAAAGAGCGCCGAAAATATTTAAAAAAAAAAAAATATACTCCTGCTCGGCATTCTTGTCTTTGATTTTGTTTTAATATGTATATTTATATATACTTTTTTGTTTTTTGTTATGGTTTCATCGAAAATATTGTTTCACAGTTTTTGGGGTGAACATATTGTGTATTTTTATTATATTTTATTATTCACAGTTTAGTATGCTCTATTCGTACCTTTTATTATACGCATTCTTATTGTTACAAATTATTTTTCTGTACTAGTATATAATATTATTATTATGCTTAGTGTTTTCAGCCATCTGTGAATTTTTATTTTTTATTTTGTTCGAATTAACATTCTATCTAGACGCCTTTGTTGAATTTATGTTTTTTCATACACAACATATTTTAAGTTATGTGTAATTTTTTTTTTTCGGTTTGATTGGATTTTATAGCATTCATTCTTTTTATTTTTTATCTCTTTTTTTCATCTCTTTGCACTTCACTACTTCTTTGGATCCATAATAGTCGTAGTGTATATTTATAACATTCGTCGCGTTTCACTAATGTTTTTTTGTATTTTTTTTTTTTTTGGGCCATGTTATTGGTGTTGGTTTTATTTACAACTCTTTTTATTGAGCTTAGGGATATACTTTTAATGATGGTACGAGTGTTATTCGTAGCGTCAGCTTGTTATTCTATTCTGCCTTAGACACAACGTCCCATTACGGGAACATTATTTTTTTATTTTTTCTTACTCTACACGTACTGTACATAATATCTAATTACTATTATGCGATTTTTTTTTTTTTTTTTACGAACATTATTATTTTATATTAATATAATTAAATTTTTTTTAAATATTACTGTACATGTATTTATATTATTACAGTCAATGATTTATTTGACAATTAAATTCTTTTTAAACTAATATTCAACCACGTGGCGAAATTTAATTTTTAAGTCATATTTTATTTGCAACTCGGAGCTTGGAGTATTCTCGCTGAACAATTTTGATATTCGTATTTATTTTTAGTATTAAACATTGCTTACTGTTGTATAAACGAAAATGAAGGAAAATAATAATAATACACAGTTTTAGCTATGTATAGATGTGGGAAATTAATTTTATTGGAACCTTAATTTGATTTTTATTTGTACGTAGAAAAAAAAAATAAGAATTTATTTGAATTACGATTAAATATTACTGTATATTTTATTGCGGATGGTTATCATCCATGCACTCACAGATCACATAAAACAAATTCGTTCTTCAAAGGAGAAAAATATATTTTTGAATAACTTATTTCGATTGGAGCGACTCGGGGTGGCAATATGACCATGGCCCAGATCACATCATTTTTATATTATATATATAACATTACAACGGAATATTATTTCACTTTTGTTATAGTACACCGACCAACGTTATCCAAATCAGAGATGTTCTTATGCCTGTAGGGATAATATAATGAAATCACGTTGGTGAAAAATTAGCGTTAATCGCATATTATACAGGATTGACTCGGAATTTTTTCCGGATAACAATATCTTTGTAAACATAAAAAATGTCCCGATTTTTTTTTCTTTTTGAATAATTTTAAAACAGAGGCCATATGATAAACGTAGTTTTGAACAGGATTATCTAGTGTACATTAACGGAAAGAGTGGATAGTAAATGTGTATATATATTTATTATTTTTAAACCTACTGGTAAATGCGACATATACATATATACATGCAATAGTACTTAATGCAATCATTTCTTATTGATTATAATGAATACTTTTTTTTCATTATCTTCATTGAATGTCTTTATTATATAATTATTTACAAATTAAAATTACCCTTTTTTAATAAAAAATATATATCAAGGTCACTTTTAACGGCGACGGGCTTTAACAAATGGTATATTAGGTAGGTCATAGGTATACGTAATACCATTGATTATAAATAATGGTATTTAATAGTATAAATATAACTATTATATACTAGTATTTATAATAAATGATAATACGTGTGTATTGAGGGTTGTCGAATTTCGAAACGTTGACAGAATTTTTTTTATTCTATGGTCAACAGTGAACACAACAATGTCAGTCATATGCGGTTTGCAATGATTGGATAACCAATAAATATAAAAATATTTCAGACAGTCGAATATGAAAGATATTTTTTAGATATTTTTAGGATAAAACCCTATGAGCGTGGCAGCGGTTGACAGTCGATAGCTGTCGTCGCTCAATCGGTCAAAAAAATAATGTTGTAAACAGCAATTTATAAATAAATATTATAAAAATAAAATATGAAGATTTTGACTGAATAACACAAAATATTAAATTTAGATAAATTAAATAGGTAACACATTTTGATACGGTCAACGGAGAGGGGGGGCGCAACTACTACCCCCATACAATCTGTACCACCTGATATTAAATTCTCATCCGTTAACTGGCGTGGAAATATAACTTTTGGATTTCTATAAAATTGCAAGATTATCCTATAACAAAACAAGTCGTAATATGAACATTTTAAAGTATCGCAATCAAAAACCTAATGGTTGCAGTTTTATAGCGGTGCAGATAACGTAAGCTTTGCCATCACAATAAATCAGCACGGAATAGAATATTTTTATGTTTTCGTGCAGGTCACCACAATAATTAGTGTATTAACTCCACGTGTTTGTGTGGTTTAAGTTGTGTCTTATTTTCGCATTGTAGAACCAATGTTGTACCGTAGGTACTAAATAATTTAGCTCTCCGATCAAATGTATGTAACCGACAATCTCCTTCACGTTCATCTCCAAACAATAACCGTTAAAGAAACGGCCATCACCTACAACAAACGATTTCGTGATTTACTGTAGTTGAATACTATCATCATCATTTTACGCCGGAGTCTAACGCACTCTCGGGCAACGCGAACAGATGACTCGAAGAAACATTCGTCCAACCATGATCACCGTATTTACATTTTTCTACCAATTAATCTACATGTTGCAAAAACGTAGCGCGTACTGTAATATGTTTCGTTAAACGCGTATGCTCTAATAGGGAATAAAATGTAATGGACCTAATAACGTTTCTGAAGCCGAAAAGGTTATCGAATCCATACCGATTTATCGCAATTAACATTAAGTACACCTAACCGCGCACACGTTCCTTCGATTCCGAACATTGGTTGTTAGCCGTACGGAAAACGAATTATTGGATTTCTGATGAAAATAGAAGCACTACGTAACAGCGTGAAATAACGAAAGGAAAAAAAAAACGGACATTGCGCCGTGATATCCTGTATCGTTTTCCCCGCGTGAACACGTACGTGGCGTTTTTAACGTTCCCGACGACGTTTCGTTTCAGCGCGCTACTTCGGCACAACGATCGTATTGCGCACCGCACGAGTTGTTTCGCCGTCGAGCTTCGCCCGTCGCGCACGTGGATTACGTGTGTGCTGTTTTTCGGCGCGACCGTTTGATTACCGTTTCTGTGGCGCGGCGCGTTACCGCTTTTATTATATTTGCACGATTCGTACACCTCGCGCGTACGTTGGCGCGCACAAACGTACGGACGGGTCGTCGCGCGCCGCCCTCGAAACGATAATAATTAACAGCAGAAACGGGCGTACGGCGGTGTACGGTGTGCGTGCGCGCGTCATCCGGACTGCGAAGGTCGGCCGCCGCCGCCGCTGCTGCCGCCGCCGCCGCCGTCGTCGTCGACCTTCGTCGCCAGGACTCGCACCGCGCCCTCGTGCGCGCTCGCCGCCGACAACCCGCTTCACCCTCGTTGTCGCCTCGCGACCGCCGCCGCCAGTGTGCCGGGCACGCCAGACGATCGCTGTTGACCGTTGCCGGTGCTCCGTCCGTCGACTACGCGAACCGATCGCGTCGTTTTCTCCGTTCCTCTGACCTTTTTTTCACACGTCACTACCGCGACAAACCGCCCGCCGCGGGTATCGCCGGTAACCGGGTGGTGACCGGAAGACTCGCGTGTGCCGGACCGCGACTGTGCGCTCGAGAGTACGCGCGTGTTTGTGTGTGTGCGCGTGCGAGTGTTTCGCGGTTGACGCTGGACTCTTTTTCGACTCTCGTGTTTCCGATGTCATTCCACCCCGTGGTCACGTCCCAAGAGGTAAGTGTCCTTCGCCCGATAAACGCACGCACAACGGTCGCCACCGTTAAGTACCTCGGCCGTTCCGAAATCCAACTCTTTGTTTTTCCTACTAGTAACCGATAACTTGGTGTCACCGATACCGTAACGGTTGGCCGAAATCGAGAACTCGTGTTTGGGTGGAAATTACACCCCGGAAATGTTTTCGTCACCGCAGTGCTGGGATCCGTTCATCGGAGTGTTTCTTTGCTTCTACCACGTGTATTTTTAAATTTCAAGTAGTGGAGGAAATCTAATGGCTGTTTCACGACGTCATGCCGCCGATACATCGTTCCAACGATTATTATATTATTACCGTAACGGAAGTCTTCGACTTGATCTTTGTGTTGTGTCAACTGCAACCCGGTGTTTCGGACCGCGTGCACCGGTGTACCCAGTTTGCCTATACAGTTTCGCCTGTATCACGGCGCTGGAGCAGATAATATTAGCACTTAGTGTCTTGCTGCGGTGTTCCGAAAGAAAACGTTTGAGGGACACTAATTATGAGACCGGGCCTTCAATTCCGTTTAAAACAGATAACGTTTATGACGACCGATAACTTCGAAATCTACCGGTTAACATTACGTTTTACGATTGAAACTGTCGATCGATTGTACCGTTTAATACTACTCATTTATTGTGTGGCCATCGATAATGAGAAAAAGAAAAGGATAATAACACATTATACCGGATTTATTTCGTGGTTCGTATAAATAACGTCAATGGTGTTTTTAATTGATAAGTATTTAGAAATGTTTACCGTAAGAATGGACTTCAAAGTCTCTTCTGACGCGAGACATCATTGATCCTTCATCAGCGGCCGTAACGGCGTTAGTTTTCCTCCATCGATTCGATATCGGTGTTTTCGTAACAATATCACGGGTTCGTTCGAGTACGCGTAGTTCACCGTATTATACATATTATAACACACACCAGCGGTTTCGGATGGTTTTATTTGCTTTTCGTACAAAATTGCCATGTTTACTGTAAACAAATATTATCACGGTTCGTGGTTATAATATCATAAACGATTTCAATCATAAAGTGGTATTATTATAGCAGTTCATCGGTACAAAACTAAACCGTATTAGTTATTAATGGTACCCAAACGTATTGCATTTTGCGGTACGAAAAATTCAAGCGATTCGATAATCGTGTTTCGACTGATCATTTCAGAAACAGCATTACTAAACAAAGTCGAATCATTTTACGTAATTTTAATGAAACATAGTCAACCGTAGATTATTTAAAATCGTCAACATTTAGTATCGAATGTCCTGAAAATCAATTTGTAAATTTGTGAAAGCATAGTAATTTAAAATTTCTCAAACCATTAAGTGGTTATTTGTGATTCGTGTAAAATGTCAATTTTATGACATTTTGATTGTGAAATGACCAATTCGTTTGTTTCACCCATACAGTCGAAAGTTGCGTATCTGTGCACGTCTCACGTGTAATTTTAATTGGTTCTATTTTCGCATGGTGTCTTAATCTGACAAACCTCTTGTGAGCGTACTTCTAGATATTATAAAATAATCCGATTTAACTGTGATTTAACGCGCGTGCACACATTCACAAAAATAATATTATCTTCTGTCTATTAAATATGTATATTATTTGTTGTACAAGTTTCGTCTCTCTATCTCACGTGGCCTACATGTATACATGATATTTAACAAGGGTGAATGTAGGTAACTGCTTTAGAGTTGTAGCGAATCACGGGTAAACATATAACGGTAATATTTCCGAGAAGTTACGTACACTGCAACGTTATTATTGTGTGTAAGCAATTGCAATTGATAAGTAGACGATTTTTTTTTCAAGTCCCAGTTAATAATATATAATACGACACGTTGCGCTTACTATAAGACACCCATCGTAATTTTACTTGAATCGAGCCGATTGTGTTTTTACTGTGGTGACGAAGAATTACTACAGTATTAAGTGATTTCAATTAAATCGTAAATAATTTTTTTTAGCGTCTTCGAAATAATTTATTTTGCGTTCTTTGAATTTTTCACGCAACAAATATACGAGAGAATAGTAAAATATATATCTTCAAATCATCTGGATATTGTATGATTATATTTACTGTATTCTTTTCATTTGCTACAGAGTGCGCGATGAATTATTCTGAAAAATGTTATGCTTATAAACTAAGCATTCAAGTAAAAGTCATGAAATAACTTGTGTATTATTTTAAAACGAACATTAATTTAATAATAATTATCAACAATTATTGTTAAGAAAATTTCAATCATTAAAAATTACATTATTTAAGTGACTAACTTTATTATTTTTATGCAGTCGACTGCTATCCGTTTACGTGTACTGACTATAACTTTAGGTTCATACCGATGACCGTTATTTACCATCAAATGTTTTCTTTTAATCTTACTTATGTCTGCGGCTTACTGATGAACAGTTGAGACTTAAAAAAAACCCGCAAAAAGTAATCAGTTGCCGTTGAATAACGTGGCGGTCAAGTAGTATAGCCATTGAACGAATTTACACGATTCGATAACATTTATCTAATAATCAATAATCGAATTCACGCTTTTTACGGTTTTTAGCACCAAACTAGTATATAATTCAACACATAAACGCAGCAATCGTCAGAGATCATCTCCACACCCCCATATTTTCTTTTCAGTTTTTAAACACACACTTTTTCGTTTTTGATAAAATATTATAACGTCAGTCAATGCACCCTAGAATTTTATAATAATTGTTTTCTTCATATGCGTCTTTGTATTTGTGGGAAAAATTTAAAATAAAAACGTTCATAATCGCAATGCATTTTATTTATAGAAACGATTACCGGCGACATAAAACGCTCGCAGTGCACGTGCTTAATTCGTACGACACAACTATTTTAAACCGTAATGTTTCGAGTACAGTGATTAGTAAGAAACTTATAAACCGTAATTTTTCATTTATATGTATTTGAACCAGAAAAAAATAAAATGTAATATTTTCTAATGTATATATAAATTTTTTTTTTCATCCGCAATCGAACGTTGGTACACGCTTATCGTGACAAGCCATTTAACCATGTCATGACTTCATTTTTTATTCAAATAACGTCAAGAGAAATATAAGTATTGTCAATAAAACTCAACATTGAAAAACATACAAGAATATTATCAAATTATTGTCACAACATCTTATTAGTTTTCGACAACTTGAGTCCATAATCGTGTAGTATGCATTAACATGATTAAAAATTGCACTGATTAGTATTGTAATATTTTATGTGTTAAAATAAATGTAGAAAAATCTTCTGTTAAATGATCAATGAGACATTAAAAAAAATTAAAATATTAACAAAATCGGGAATAATAATATTAATTTTATACGTTTTAAAACCGTATGAATATCATAGTTATCATAAAATTCACACAAAAACTAATTTTATTTAATTTGTTTAATGTATTGAAATAATAAGATCTTTGTTTTAAATAATATACGAAATTGAATATTTACACTATAATCCGATTAATAACAATTTGAATAATTATGATTTTCGATATTTACCAATGAGACTGCAGGGGTTACAACAAACGATGATCACTTAATTTATTATAATAATTTCGTATTTGATTATCATTAATGTTCAAAAAGTGCATGTTCTTGAATGTTTCAGGCTTGAAAGTAACCTAAATAAAGTTAATTAATTATTTTATTTCGATTACTAACGTCGATGTATTAAAGTGAATCGTTCATGCCATGTAAATGGAAGTCATGAATAAAATACCTAGAATATCATTGTTTACTTGAATAGTATATTAAATAATATTTTATAATACAATTGACACTAATGTATAAATAACAAGTAGCTAAACCGTGAAAAGTGCTCCCAGCGCTTCATATAAGAACTTTTATAGTAATGGATGAATTTTTATCGGTTAGTTTCGTATTTACGAACTAGTGTTGAATTAAGTAATATTTTATATCAAAAATGGCATTTAAATAAAATCAGGAACCAAAAATTATATTATGGCCATAAATATTATACCATATATATGTAGTTATTCTGCTTTATGTTTTGCGAAAATATTAAACATTTTTGTATGAACATCTAAAGGCAAAAATAATTTCGCTTTTTCTGATAAAAATATTTTTACGGTAAATGAAGTTAAGTTGTAAAAAATTTTGGTTACCGGGAATCGATATTAACAATATGTTCGTTATAAATAATTTATAAGTATTTTATAACGTTATATAATGAATATTTACGTTAATTTCAAACATTATTTTTGGTCAGATGTTAAATTTAAGAATTTTAATTTTAAACTAAGGCCTTTATTGGATTTTACGATATATACAGTTATAAGTGGTGATACGTGTAATGCACATATTGTACTATAGAATTTAACTCCATATATTAGGTACATGAACGTAACTTAACATTTAGATGAAAATTAGAAATTAAAAAATATCTCAGATTAAATTCGAGAGTCACAATTTGTTTCTGCTTCATTAAATTCTTTATTGAATAATATTTGTATATACTTACATACTTATAATTTTGACAAATATGATAATAATATTTAAGTACTTAAGACTTTAATTATAATGGAGTAGCAATAAAAAATGTTTATTGAAAAAACAAAAGAAACGGTATTTTGACAACGGTATTTTACTGTATTAACAGTTTGATAAGTCTGATAGAACGGAAAGAAGAAAATTGGTTGTAAGTTTGTAATATATAAATTTTAAAACTAAATTCTGGCGCGCAATTTACTTTGAAAACAAAAAAAGCTATTTGCATTTAGTTTAGAGATAATTAAATATAACGCATAATCGTTACATAATTGTTACATTATAGTTGTCTGGATTTCGATTTAGTGTCATGCACACTCGTTGTTTTTCCGATGAACAAATTCAAAACATTCAATACAAATTTGACAGTTTTTAACTCAATGAATCAATGAATATGATTAACACTGCCGCGTCAGTTAGTTGGTTTCACATATGAG